AGCAGAAGTGAGGATTCAGCGCACTAAAACCTGATGATAGACTATGCACTTTGGAAAACTCAGTGGACCGAAACTAGCAGAGAACATGACACCCCAAACCATCACTGGCTGTGGAAATTTCACATTGAGCTTCAAGCAATGTGGATGCTGCTGTGCCTCTCCACTCTTCCTCCAGACTCTGGGACCCTGATTTCAAAATCAAATGTAAATTTTACTTTGATCTGAAAAGAAGACTTTGGATCACTGAAGAACAGTCGAGTTCTCTTTCATAACATTTGTTTCGTGTGCTACTCAGAGAATCAGGGTTACAAAGGTAACCTAAAGTTTTTTTTCTCCCTTACTCATATGTAACATGTGCGTAACATGTTCTGTTTTTTTGTGTCCTCTCTCCTTTTAACACAGAGACAGTGAGATTGGTTTGAATAACTTTATAACTAAATAAAATTATAATTTGAAAACTGATTTTTTCTATTTACTCAGGTTATCTTTGGCTAATACTGAAATTCAAAACAAAAAACATTATTCAACAAAATAAGTTAGGTGGCAAATACTTTTTCACAGCAACCTGGAGGCACAGTCCAGAATCAAATACATAATTTCATTGGGATTATGTGAACAGATTTAGAAGGTTCCCACAAAATGTTTGTGTAAAACCATTCAGTCATCATTGAGAATAAACTTCTTGAAATTATACCACCCCCTAGTGTTAGACAATGGACACTAAATCACTGGTTAAACAACATTAAATCCTTTATTGACAAACGTAAATTGTTGACAGGGGACAAGCTGGTGGCAGGTCCTGGTTAGCGGCAACCAGTGTTAAACTGGTCAAAATAATCCCTGGTGGGTTTGTTGGTATATAGTTCCTTATTCAGATAGTGCTGACTGGAACAGAAACAGAAATGTACAAACAGTGTGCAGAAACAGCCAGAAGATTTTCATTTATATTATACATTTCATATTATTTATCAATTTATAAACAAGTTACCTGATAAAAGTGTGTGTGTGCGTGCGTGTGTGTGTGTGTGTGTGTGTGTGTGTGCGTGTGTGTGTGTGTGTGTGCGTGCGTGTGTGTGTGTGTGTGAAAGAGTGTGAGCTCACTGTGCCTCCTGCTGTCTGGCCAGATTCTTGTTTTCTTCGTCCATCAGGATTCTCTGTTGCCTTCTTAGTTCTGCCGTTTGCTGTTCCTTCTCTTCTGCTGTTTTAGAAATTTTCAAGAGCTGCAAGTCCCAGGCTGCATCCCTAATCTTATCAGCCTCAAGTTGTTTCTGTCAACAAAAAACATGGCATAAGTTGTGCACTATGCATATATTGCTCTAAAGCAGTTGGTTGCAAACCAAAGCTAATTTTGCATGTTCTTCCCCTGGATGTACAGATTTTTATGGATGTATGGGTGGAGACTCACCCCAGGCAGGGTGCATGCATTTATGGAAGTGACACCATGTAACTGGGACTGCAGGAGTACCTTTCTCTCGAGACGCTGTTGCTCTCTCTGCTCGTGGAAGTTGTTGAGCTGTTGAAGGCTCATCCCCCTCCACTTGTCCGGCAGAACATGCGGTGGTCTCCCTCCTCCCATATAGGTCTCCGCTGGCTCTGAAGTCTCTGTCAACATGTCAGATGTCCCAGTGTGCCACATATCTATCATATTATCCATCTCCTCCTTCATACGCTGCTCCCTGAGGTTCAGAGCTCGGTCTTCAACCTGTGTGGAACAACATAGGATGAGGCCTCAGCACTGACCGAGAGAGATCTCAAAGTTTACGACAAACAAAAAAAAAGACAGGAGTCTTTATAAAGATACACTACTGGTTTGTGGTCAGAACTCTAGCGTGCAGAACAGTCAATTTCTTCCGCACCAGATGCCTTCATCCATGTCTTTATGGGCGTTATTATGTGCACTGATGCATTTTGGAAATACAACAAGGCATTCCCAAACTTTTCCCACAATGTTGGGAGCATGTAATTGCAGGACTTTATATACTTTAGGGCATGGGAGTGGATGAGAACACTTGAATCCAATGACTCAGAGGTGTGAGCAAAGACTTCTTGCGGTATAATGTATTTTCCTTCTATGTAACTTTTTATTACCCTCCCTGTGTAGGTGTCAATAACTGTCTGCTGGACAACCGTTTTCTGCATGATTTTATAGGCCAAACATAAATATAGTGTAACATTTTGTCATTAAAAATCTTTTTAATAATTTTATTGTTTTTCTGTGATCTTCTAGTTTGCTGAATGACAGAATTTCTGGTTTTCATTATTTGTGGAAAAAAAAAAATCACCACGGTTGACAAAGATATATTAATTTGCGTGAAATTATAGAGCAAATTATAGAGCATAACTTTTGAGAGCATTCTAATTCATTGAAAAGCACCTGTATGTTGCATTTTCTCCCAAGTGATCCTCTCAGGAAGATAAATTTGCTGGTGAATCATCGACATGAGTGGTTATTAGGAAAACTACATAATTACCATGAAAAATGCCATGACCTGAAGGCTTTAGAAGGATTTCACTCAATGGGGAATTGAGACAAGAGTGCTCAGGCAAATGAGGGAGCAACTAAGAGGGGGCTTTCAAATGACAACCAATTCCATGAATGCATCACATCAGTTCATCCGTGCCTGTTGGTTGGTACCAAACAATGCGACTGCCTTCCTCCTGTGTCAAGTGTGTGTAGGCATCACTTAACATTTTTAGCTTGCAATTCTAATTTAAAGTCTCAGCCGAGAAATCTCTGTCACAGCTCAGAATCCCCACTGGGTTCGACTTCAAACATTTGCATCAAATGACGGTGCGTGAGCGTTCGTGTGTTTGTTGCGTACCAAGGCTAGATTGTCATTCCAGAGTGAGACAAGGGCGGCTTTCCTACGCTCCTCTTGGACTGCATTCTGCTGGGCCCACATTAGGTCTTGATTCACCAGCTGGTTGTTGTACAGCCGCTCTGTGAAGCGTGTGGAAATGTGTTTGTTTATACAGCTGCATTAGCTATTACCCACTGAAAATAGGTCTCAAGCCACACACTCACACACAGATTCACAGCACTTCGGGATGAGCATTCATCAAAGTCACCTGGCAGAAAGAACTATGTAGGAAGATGTGATTGTTTGTGTGGAAAACCATGAAGCACGTTGATGTGATTTATAGCAGCTCTTGTATTAATTCTGCTCCTTGGTAACCGTGTGTGTTTGTGTGTGCATGTTCATGTTTCGCTCTTTTCACCTCTGTTCTTCGCTCTGTTGTCCCTCATTTTCTTATCATCCAATTGTTCTTGCCAATCTTTTTGGTTTTGTCTCGTTTGCTCTTTCAGCCTCTCCTTCCGTCTGCGATCTTCTCCCTGTAAATTAAACAAAAACAAAGAAAGAGCAAGGTGACTTCCCACTTTCATTCAATTTACTGCTGTTGCTCACTCATATGTGAGTCTTACCTCAAATACATACATGCTGGAAAGCCCCAGTTCAGATTCTGGAATGGTGAGGTTGAACGTCCCCTTCACCTCAACATCATGAGAGATCTTCATTTGCTGCTGTGTATCCCAGAACTGGTTCAGTTCCTTTTGCAAAGCTTTCCGCTTCTCTTTCTCATTACTCTCTTGCAGAAGAAACACTTCATCTTGGCATTTCCTCAAATTATCTGAAATACATTTAAAAAATTACACAAGTGACCTGCATTTATTAGTGATAAAATTGTATTTGATCATTGTGTAATTTCTTCAAGGATAGTAAATTAACTGTTCTTGTGTAGTTCTTTGTCTAGTCCAGACAAATCCAAAGCTTTTTCACCCATTCACACACCAGCCGATGGTGGAAAGCTACAAGATTGTAGCCACAGCTACCCTTGGGCAGTCTGACAGAAGCAAATGACATAGAAGAACGTAATTACCAAAATCCCTGTCTCGTAGTTTCTCACAGTCTCGCTTCAGCTTATTTTCCAAGACTTGCTTGTTTAAAGCTTCCAGGTCGACGCCCATCACACGCACGCGAGGGTTGAAGAATCGGGCTTTGCGGGCTCTTTCTGCAGACCTTCGGGCCTCCGCGACCTTGTCTTTTGAATCATCAACTGGCAAGTCCACTTTATACATTTTTATGGTTTCCAGGCAGGTTCTGGGACAAAGTTACATTCAAAACTATTTTATCGATCCCAAAGGTAAATAAGATGTTGTTGTAACTCATATTAATTCAAATTCTTCAAAGAGTTATTATAGATATAGTAATGGCTTTTGACATAAAAAAAAATGGCTAACATAATAATAATAAAAAAAAAACTAAAAAAACCCCAAAAACAAACAAACAAAGAAATGACATCATTACTAAGTAACAAATTCAAGCACGTGGAACACTTTTTCAAAACAAACAATGGTTTAATGGTTTAATTAATTTAGTAGATAAAACATACAGGAAGTTAGAACAACATGAAGGACTTCTAGTGCCAAATGGCACATGAGGCTTCGCAGGTAAAAAACATAAAAAAAAACTTTTTCACTTTAAGTTAAACTGTAGGTCGTATTTACACCATAGAAGTTTTTTTCATAAAAATATGCTTTTTCTTCATTCAGAAAAGAAAGATAAAAAGACAACCAGATTAGTTCTCTTGTATAAAACTTTTAAATTACATTCCAAATGTCTTAGAACAACTAATAAATCAATGCCCTCACTCTTACCTGTAAGATATAGTTGCATAAAACGCAGGAAATTACAGTTAACATCGAAGGGACTTTGTTGCTGTCACAGTGTTATGTTTGGGTTTGGGTGCCCTAGTAACCATGGTAACATCCTTTTTTTTTGCTACAAGTGAAAGTCTCTCTAAACTTAAAAAAATAGACTTAAGTAATTTGACAAATATACTGGCTGAATTGAAAGGTATCGACATTTTTTTCCCATTTTAAATGTCATTAGCAGCGGATATCATAGACACAAACGTTAATGTATGTGACGCACGTTTACGTCTCTTTTAACTCCACCTCGCGAGAAAACGCGAGGTTTCGAATCTCGCGCGCTTAAGCTTTTCCTGTTAGATTGTAAAATGGCGCTCTGTTGTTACAAGTGTTCCGATTTAATTTGACAAGGATTTTTACGAGGCATTTATGTTTGAGACTTTGCGTTTGCTTCATAATGTAACTTATGTGCAAGAGAGCTACATGTTGAGCAGCAGCTTTCCTTCATTTACAAGTTCACTTCGTTTGTGTTAGACAAGTTGTTCGCTGCAGACTGGCTGCTAGCATTGTTAGCTAACTGTCTTAACATTGTCCGTGCATATATTCATATAAGTATAAGCTCGGCAACAAGCAAAATGGGCTACTTGAAACTCATAGAGATAGAAAACTTCAAGTCATACAAAGGACGACAAATTATCGGACCGTTTCACAAGTTCACGGCAATCATCGGACCCAATGGATCGGGTATGTTGTGATGAGAGCTAAGGCAAAATGTAAACCGTTTGCTACGACTGGCTAACGGTAAACACGGGGTCATCTCGTTGTGCTGTTTACTCTTGTAGTAATTAGGTGTGTTTTTTTGTAAAGCACTTTAATAACATTGGAGCATGTATTTTGTAATACGAGTACTAAATATTTTACTCTTCATTATTGTTGTTGTCTGTTTAATAGCTTGTCTGATGGCATGTTATTGCATTGGGGTGTCATATATGGAACACCCTAAAGCACTTTAGTTTTGTGAACATTACTAAAACGTTGATATTTACAAAAAGTTGTGAAATATTTGTGTATCTTCAGCATGATAGTGATCTTTCCTGGACGAATTGAATGTTTTGCTTAATCAGAAAACAATACGGCTTTATTTTAGGTTGAGATGAAAATTCATCTGTACATTTTACTTTGGTATTTCTTGGGACTTTCTAAGTGCCTTACACGTTTAATAATGAACACAGTAAACCGTTTATAAAATATAAAGCTTCTGGGGCTTTTACATATGTCTTTACTTGTCCTATAAACTACTCCCCACTAATTCTATGTAGAAACCTTTCCAAACAAATGCATTTTTTTGGGATAGCCTCAGATACAAGCAAGGTCTGACAAAAATGGCAGCTGTGAAAGATTTTAACTTTGTGATGCATTAATATGAACGAAAACAAAAGAAGCAAAAGGAAATCCATTTAGGGTGTGGAAACAGAACCTAAAATGTCAATGCATTTCATTGCAGGTAAATCCAACCTCATGGATGCCATCAGCTTTGTGTTGGCAGAAAAGACGAGTAACCTGCGTGTGAAGACTTTGAAAGATCTAATCCATGGAGCTCCTGTGGGGAAGCCAGCTGCCAACAGAGCGTTTGTCAGCATGGTATACCAAGAGGATAACGGAGAGGAGCGTTCCTTCACACGGGTCATTATTGGTAAGAAGTCGTTATGTACAAATTGAGAAGATATACTGTCTGTTGGTAATATTTATTGCTTTTTATCATTACATATCTTTCTGTTTGAACATGACAAATATTGTCGAGTTAACCAATTCTAATTCTGGGGACAACATGTGTGTTGTTCCTACCATGTTTGCTTTGTAACTAAATAACACGGTTTGTCTTAGGGGCCTCATCCGAGTACCGCATAAACAATAAAGTGGTTGGACTACCTGAATACAGCGAGGAGCTGGAAAAACTTGGCATTCTGATCAAAGCCAGAAACTTTCTTGTCTTTCAGGTAAGTGTTTAGAGAATCGCTTCCTTCACAGTGCTTCAGCAGAAAACTATTTGTGTAAAGCTAACATACAGTTGGTATTACTTGATTATAAGTGAATTAGATTTTTTATTTTGCTTTATTACACAACAGGGGGCTGTGGAGTCCATTGCCATGAAGAACCCCAAAGAGCGAACAACGCTGTTTGAGGAGATCTCACGTTCTGGGGAGTTGGCACAAGAGTATGACCGCAGAAAGAAGGAGATGGTGAAAGCAGAAGAAGATACACAGTTCAATTATCACCGCAAGAAAAACATTGCTGCAGAGCGCAAAGAAGCCAAGCAGGAGAAGGAAGAGGTGAGCGCTTTGAAATAAAATAAGATGGACTCAATTTTGTTCAAGAAAAAAATGTAAATAAATCTGCATTTATTTAATCAAAAACTGTTTCTACCAGGGACAACTTGATTTGTGTATTTCATTCCTTCCAAGGCCGCCTTTGTTATTACAAATCCAATCTGAATCTGCCATAAAGTTAAACCTAAATAACTTAAAACCAAAAATCGAGCGCAAAGCTAATCACATTATTTTCTTTCTTGTTCTTGATGTCTTTGTCAGGCTGAGCGATATCAACGCCTTAAAGACGAGGTCGCCAGAGCCAGTGTACAGTTACAGCTCTTCAAGTTGTACCACAATGAGGTCGAGATCGAGAAACTGAACAAAGAGCTCGGCCAGCGGAATAAAGAAATCGATAAGGACCGTAAAAAGATGGACCACGTCGAAGAGGAGCTGAAGGACAAGAAGAAAGAGCTGGGCAGGCTGATGAGGGAGCAGCAGACCATCGAGAAAGAAATCAAGTATGTCCTCATGTGGTTCTGGCAGCCTTCCGGGTGTACATGCTTGGATCCTGACCCCCAAAATTTTCAGTGCAAAATAATTATTTTCATTCTATTTGCAGAGAAAAGGACTCTGAGCTGAATCAAAAGAGGCCCCAGTACATCAAGGCCAAAGAGAACACGGCACACAAAATCAAAAAGCTTGAAGCTGCGAAAAAATCTCATCAGAACGCCCAGAAGATGTACAAGAAGCGCAAAGCTGACATGGATGAGCTGGATAAGGAGATGAGAGCGGTGGAGTTGGCCAAGCAGGAGTTTGAGGAAAGAATGGAGGAGGAGGCTCAAAGCCAGGGCCAGGACCTCACACTGGAGGAAAACCAGGTCTGACTTGATTCTTCCTTAGTCCTTTTATTCAATAAAACCTCAGTCAAACCAGTAGATGCCATTAACAAATGAAAAATTTGTTCACATTCGTGTTATAGCGATTGAAGCAGATTAAATACATGCAATACAAAGAAATAATTTCGGCCCTTCCATTTTACTTAATCTATTTATTCTTAAAAGAAATTTGTACATGTTTTCTTTAGTTATTGATCTTATTATTTGGTCTCAGGAAAAAAAAGAATTGGCTTGACTCTCTTTTCTTCCTTCCCCCTAGGTGAAGCAGTACCATCGCCTGAAGGAGGAGGCCAGTAAGCGCGCTGCCACTCTGGCCCAGGAACTGGAGAAGTTCAACCGGGACCAGAAGGCTGACCAGGACCGCCTTGATTTGGAGGAGAGGAAGAAAGTGGAGACAGAGGTAAAAAAATCCGCAGTTAGTTTTAATCTTGGATAAAAAAGATTTGCATAGGAACTAATGCAACTCTGCAAATATCTCCTTATTTCTCAGGCCAAAATCAAGCAGAAGATTCGTGAAATAGAAGAAAACCAGAAGCGTATTGAGAAGCTAGAGGACTACATCACCACCAGCAGGTACGTCACTGGTGTATTTGCTCTCTCTGAGGAGATTCCTGCTGTTCATTTAGCTGTTAATATGATTAATTTTACTCCTTCACTCACACATTTCTACATCGCTAAACTTCAGACAGTCACTCGATGAGCAGAAGCGCATGGAGGAGGAGCTGACGGAGGAAGTAGAGATGGCCAAGAGGAGGATTGATGAAATAAACATGGAGCTTAATCAGGTAACCACGACAGAAAAGACAGAGCAGTGTTGGCTTTACTCATCAAAGATTTTCACAGTTTTAACCTTCTGTATTTTATTTGAAGTTGATATGTTTTGATCTTTTTCTGTTTGGCTTCTTTTAGCTTAAGTGTAGAGAACTGCTTTCTTCTCTGTACATCTCAGAATCTTGCATCAAAAAGTAAAAGCAGATTCTTACACCAGTGTGTGCTGCCTGTTTCGCACTGGTGTCTTTAAATGTTTTATTTTAGGTCTCGGCCAATTTAGGCAGATTTGAAACACTGTTGATTTTACATTGGGATTTTTTTTTTTTTTTTTTTAGCTTTAACCTAAATTAATACCAAATTTGAAATCAAAGAAGAAAGCGCAAATTTTTATTCAGAACAAGCACATGCTAGCAGCTGGCACGATGGAGAAATTTCTACAAACTCACACCCCTCACCATGGAAACCACATGAAGAAGTTCGTATGATGCAGCTTTTAAGTTGAAGGCTGTCGATCTGGTAGTACAGGAGGGAAATAGAGCCGCTGCACGTAAGCTTGGCGTGAATGAAACCATTGTTCGGCAAAGAGCTGCATCCTCGATGAATCCAGCAGATTTATTAAGGATAAGAGTGGTGGAGATATCAGCCGCTTGCTTATAGCCGTCTGCGGCTTACATATGTTTCCAGTTTTTTCAAAAACTTTGTAGATGCGCCTTATAGTGAGATACGCTCTATAGTCTGGAAAATAAATTACTTGAACTTTAGTAAAACTATACAAAAGTTCCACTTAATGTAGTGGACTTTATTTTATTATTATTCAAATTTTTTATTTTTTTTACTTTTTCCGTTGTAATTCTTTAAAACAAGCTCTGTGCAAAATTATATGGATAGCCACACCGGTGCATTTTCCCAGAGTCCCATATGTAACCTGAGGAGTAAAAGTAGAAATATTTTCAGCTCCACAGAATAGAGCACAGCTTTTTTTTTGTGTGTGTGTGTGCAAGTAACCACAACAAAACTGCACTTCTCCCATTTAATAAATATTTTCTATGATCTGGATTGACATGAAAAGCATGACTGGATGGGACTGACCACTTCCATTTGCTTCAGGTGATGGAGCAGCTGGGAGACGCCAGGATCGACAGACAGGAAAACAGTCGACAGCAGCGCAAGGCAGAAATCATGGAGAGCATCAAGAGACTTTACCCTGGATCTGTGGTAAGTTACTAATGTACAGAATCAACCCATGTTGCCCAAACATGTGTCCCGTTTTGGACAACATTTTTTTGAACATGTTTGAATGAGACCGCCTGCTGTTGTGTTTTCAGTACGGCCGCCTGATTGACCTGTGCCAGCCCACTCAGAAGAAATATCAGATTGCTGTTACTAAAGTGTTGGGCAAGAACATGGACGCCATCATCGTCGACTCAGAGAAAACCGGCCGAGACTGCATTCAGTACATCAAGGAGCAGAGAGGAGAGCCTGAGACCTTCCTTCCTCTTGACTATCTTGAGGTGAATATTACACTACAGGAGACGCCTCAAGGAAAAAGTAATCAGAATGGAAAGTACTGAAAATGAAGATTTTATTTTGGACTGGACATAATACATTTTATGTCTAGTCCTCACTGACGCTGTCCTGCGACTTTTAGATGTCTCCCTGTTTCAACACACCTGAATGAAAGGGTTTAATCGCCTCTTCAGCATCTCATCAGGTTCGTCTGAGTGCTGATGATGAGCCTTCAGTATGATTCATGTCTGTAGAACAGGGGGGCATCTGAAAGTTGCAGGACAATAACTCTTGAAAACTGGAGTTGGAGACTGCTGATTTAACAACAGTTTTGGAGGTAATTATCATTCATATTGATCGCCCAATGAGCAGAAAGCCTTTTTTCCTTTAAGGTCAAACCAACAGATGAAAAACTGAGAGAGCTGCGCGGGGCCAAGCTGGTGATCGATGTGATCCGCTACGAGCCGCCACACATCAAAAAAGCCCTCCAGTACGCTTGCGGCAACGCTCTGGTTTGTGAGAATGTTGAGGATGCACGAAGGATCGCTTTCGGAGGGCCTTACAGACACAAGGTGATTAACCTGGTGTGGGATGAGAAAACAATTTATATTTTAAGATGTTAGTTTGCTGATGTGTCTTTATTATCCTGTGTTCAGACCGTAGCCCTGGATGGCACGCTGTTCCAGAAGTCAGGAGTCATCTCCGGAGGAGCCAGCGATCTGAAGGCCAAGGCCAGACGCTGGGACGAGAAGGCGGTGGACAAACTAAAGGAGAAGAAGGAAAAACTTACAGAGGAGCTAAAGGTAACCAACTCAGAAAAAGTCAAGAATTTGATTGCCTATGCAGTTCATATATACCTTTCGGTTTGTTTAAGTGTAAACCACTTTCGGATTTTCTTTGCAGGAGCAAATGAAGGCAAAGAGGAAGGAGGCAGAACTGCGTCAGGTGCAGTCTCAGGCACACGGCCTGCAGATGAGACTAAAATACTCCCAGAGTGACCTGGAGCAGACCAAAACCAGGCACCTCTCCCTCAACATGCAGGTACGCCCCGAGCCTCTTGTTCTGTCTTTTGGGATTTTTGAATAGCGATTGTTGGTTTTAAAGTGTTTTTTTGTTTGTTTGTTTGATCTCTTGTTTGCAGGAGAAATCCAAACTTGAGAGTGAACTTGCGAATTTTGGCCCTCGCATCAATGACATCAAGAGGATTATCCAATCCCGTGAGCGAGAGATCACTGACCTCCGAGACCGCATGAACCTAGTGAGACTGACTGAATGCACAGGCTGCTTAAAACCGGCTTTACATACCATTCTCTGTAGTTTAACGACTGAGTTTGTCTTGTAGGTGGAGGACGAGGTGTTTGTTGAATTCTGTAAGGAGATCGGAGTGAGAAACATCCGAGAATTTGAGGAGGAGAAAGTGAAGAGGCAGAATGAGATCGCAAAGAAGCGGTCAGTTTAGAGTTTAAGTCACTTCTCTGGTAGCAAAACGCTTTTTTTTTGTTGTTTGATGTTGTTTTGTTTTTTTTTTTTATTTGTGTCGTATAATTTCAGTCTTGAGTTTGAGACCCAGAAGACCCGTCTGGGAATCCAGGTGGACTATGAGAAGAACCAGCTGAAAGAGGACCAGGAGAAAGTCATGATGTGGGAGCAAACTGTTAAGAAAGACGAGGCTGAGATAGAGCGCCTTAAGAAGGTCCAAAAACATATTCAAAGTCAGCATTAATGGTTTAATATTGATGTAGCTTGAAATCAAGACAAATGTGATCTGTGGTTTTACTTAGGAGGAGCACAGACACATGAAAATCATTGATGAGACGATGGCCCAGCTGCAGGACCTGAAGAACCAACATCTCACCAAGAAATCTGAAGTCAACGATAAAAACCACGAAATGGAGGAGATTCGCAAAAAACTGGGAGGCGCTAACAAGTCAGTGCTGACTAAAACCAGGATGAAATGAAACGTTTTAGTGTGTGTTTTCTAATTCTATCTGGCCTGTTTGTTGCCTTCCAGAGAGCTGACCCAGCTCCAGAAGGAGGTCACTGCCATCGAGACCAAACTGGAGCAAAAGCGCAGTGACCGCCACAACCTGCTGCAGGCCTGCAAGATGCAGGACATCAGGCTGCCTCTTCGCTCCGGAACCATGGATGATATCAGCCAGGGAGAAGTACGAGGACATGGCTTTTATGCTGTTTTTTTTTAATCAGGATGTGAAAAGAAAGTAAAGTTATTTGTTGCTGTTGTAGGGGAGCTCTCAGACAGATGACTCTAGCAGTCAAAGGACGTCCAGCAGCGTTCTGGCTAAAGAAGCTCTAATAGAAATTGACTACAGCAACTTGTCTGAAGATCTGAAGGTAGGTGCTCCAAATAATTCAAGACGTTCATCTTTTCGAACCATAAGAACTTCCTGTATTTTATATTACAGCAGTTCCCACTCTAAAAAAAAGTAGCACAGATTTTTCTGGGTAAACCACTTTTATCTGCTAAGCTTTTAGAAGCTTAAAACTTTTAAAACCACAGTGTAGAGATGTGTTTTTTTTATATATATAAAAGACATAATATTTGAGTTGTTAAATTACAAAATAAGCCAATTAAACCGTTGTAATTTTCTATAGGATACATTGTCAGAAGAGGAGATAAAAGCAGAGACAAACACACTGCAGCAGCGTCTGAACGAGCAGCAGAGCATCCTGCAGAGGATCAGCGCTCCCAACATGAAGGCCATGGAAAAACTGGAGAGCGTCAGGGACAAGTTCCAGGAGACCAGTGACGGTGAGAGGACATGATCTTCGTTGACAAAATGGAGACGGGGTCAGAGGAAGAGATTCCGAGAATGGTCGAAAATGAACTCTTTCCGATGATTTTACCCGTTTGGTTTCAGAGTTCGAGGCGGCGCGTAAGAGAGCTAAAAAGGCAAAGCAAGCCTTCGAGCAGATCAAGAAAGAGAGGTTTGATCGTTTTAATACCTGCTTTGAGTCTGTGGCCACCAACATCGATGAGATCTACAAAGCTTTGTCACGCAACAGCAGCGCCCAGGTGTGTTTTAGCTTTTACTGAAGCAAAATCAATGCAGTAAAGATGTTATTTATCAGTCACATTTATTGTTGCAGAGTTGGAGACAGCCCAGCTCTTAACTTCCTGCTGGTTGATTATCTTTCTTAATAGGAAAGCAATATTTAATGCTACTCGTGCTGCACAAAAAAAACTATTTTGGCTCATGACTAAATTAGTCTGAGATCTGAATCACTCTTGGTGTTTTGCAGGCTTTTCTGGGCCCAGAAAACCCAGAGGAACCGTATCTGGATGGTATCAATTATAACTGTGTGGCGCCAGGGAAAAGGTTCAGACCCATGGATAACCTGTCTGGAGGAGAGAAGACGGTTGCTGCCCTGGCTCTGCTTTTTGCTATCCACAGGTCTGACAAAAAAGCAACACAAGTGGATGTTTTAATATTTATCAAATGACATGCATGGTGAATCCTGCTTGTTGTGTTTGAGATATTTAAATATTTTCAGGACCTGGATGACAGTAGATTTCTGTCCACGTCTTTAACATCTCATCCGTGTCCTTTCAGCTACAAACCGGCACCGTTCTTCGTCCTGGATGAGATTGATGCCGCTCTGGACAACACTAATATTGGCAAAGTGCGTTCAGATTTCACTGTCACCGACTTTTCATCAGTGATACTTGTGATTTAAAAAAAATAAATATATATTATATATATATATATCTATTCTTTCTTCTCAAGGTGGCCAATTACATTAAAGACCAGTCAGTACAAAACTTCCAAGCTATTGTCATTTCTCTGAAGGAGGAATTCTACACCAAGGCTGACTCTCTTATAGGCGTTTATCCAGAGGTGGGTTTCCCTTTTCACTGACCATCAAACATTACAACACTGAGACTTTGTAGATATATGATAAAAAAACCCCCAAAACATTAAGCTTTGACCCGGTGCATTGTAGTTTGAACTGGACCATATTAGGATGATGACATGCCATTATTTCTTTCAACAATAGCAGTAAAAGTTGTGATACGTAAATTTTTTGTAAATAATGATTTTTTTTTTTTTTTTTGCTGTTTGAAAAACCCAATAAATCAGATAATCAGAAGTGACCGGGAACATTGAAAAGGCTTAATTTCATTTAAAAAAATAAGGTTTTATCTGAATCTTTGCTTCTTGATGTTATCTCTTGTTTCTACTTTGAAACAACATAAATGTAGTTTCTTGAAGACTTGGCCACCATACCACTTCGTTACCTTTTTTATGGTGTTTTTAACAACTATAGTCACACACATAATTAGATGCCGCGATGTAAAACAAATGCTAATTGTATTTGCAGCTACAGCTATATGTCCAGCCTTATCAGTTTTCTGTGGATCATTTTTCCCCTCCAAAGAGTTTTTATGTAATAAGTTGGCAGGACTGAAATAAACTGTTCATTTTTAGAGTATCAATGACGTTTAAGTAATTACTTGAAGAAATTAAAGGAATTCTTGTTCTCTATTTCACAGCAAGGAGATTGTGTTATCAGCAAAGTTCTCACCTTTGACCTGTCGCAGTATCCTGATGCCAACCCGAATCCAAATGAGTAACAAGAGCCTGCTCAGTACTGTCCTACATAGTTACAGATCATGTATTCAGTAAGTCTTCAGTTTTCTTTTGTTTTTATTTTTTTTTATAGTGTAGTCATTCATGAAAGCTTTCCTTTCTGGGATGTTTTTTTTTTTAGTAAAACCTAAGATTTCTGTACATTTAATGGAAACAACCCGCTCTGAATTTGACCATTATTGTTCATTATTATAGTGAATTATGATGAAGTAAAAGGAGACTCAAAGCTTTTTAGTGAACTGTAGGATTTTTACGAACCAGTTAATGAAATACCTTTAAAATAAGCAAGTTCCTTTTTTATACCGTCTAAGGCTCTCATTTTGTTTGCTTAAAGCCTTTGCGTGTCCTCTGCGTGTTTAAAAGCAAATTACATTTTACATGTGCAAGTTGTTTTTTTTTAAAGCTCAATCAGGAGTTTTTAATTGTGTGGTGGATGGATTCCCTGTGTTTGGTAACTAAATAAAGCAGTGAAAATGGCTGCAGCTTAAAGTGCTATAGGAAGATTTCAAAGCTTTTTGAAACCTGACTTAATAATATTATGTTGAAAGTACCTAAAAAGTTGGAGTATCACCTGAAACCACTTCAGCATGAATAAGATGATTATGTCTATTTGTTTGGTTGGCTTTGCTTTAATAAATCTAACGTGAAATTATGTGCATTCGTCTTTGTACTTATTAATGTGCTGTTAATAATCAGCTGCCGTTCCGTTTTAAACTCATGTTTTGTTTTCGGTTTAAGAAGAAGAAATTTTAATGCAAAGCATCCACATGTCAGGTTTTTTTTATTTGTATCCAGGGAAAAAACAATGCTCATACAGACAAACATTGGATTAGATGTTTTTTGTTTTTTTTATGAGGGTGAAACAGTGAAAAAATATCAAACTTTATTGTACAGAATCCAAAGTAAAGGGAGAGTAAAGATGAAAATACTTGACACTAACGTTAAAACTCGATGTGTGACAGTTAAACGCAGGCACATCAGAGGACAACATCAATAGCAAAAAATAGAAAAGTCCTCCGGGAAGACTGAATTTGTTCACAAAACATGAATCAAGTGCAAAAGTCCACACCGATGTGAATAAAAATGTTTCAAGCTAAAGCAACCATACTCCAGGTATGCTGAAAACCCTCTATTTAGGGATCAAATCTAATCTAAGGGACAAACATACAACCCATAACTGCACGGTGACGTTTCACTACATTGATTATAAAGCAAACAGTTTATTGCAGCTAGAACTTAGGATAATTGTTGCTACAATAAACTGCTAAGGGCAGCTTTAAACAGAAAACCTGCTGAAATTTCAGTCACAAAGACAGTTTGAAGCTCCTACCTTTTAAATACTTTTGTTTTCTGGTAGGAAGACAAAACTAGCTGTTTCCACTTACCGTCGTACTTTCCCACCATCTTATCAACTGCAGGCCAAAAAATGGCTGCTGCCATTTGTTTAGTTTTCACTGAGCCTTGCTCACTATCACTGCCCCCTTCTGTGAGGCTACACTAAGACACTTTCCTTATTCACTCAGCTGTCCCACCTGTGGAATGGATATCCTCAGTAAATGATAAGGTAAAAGAAGTATATTGATCAGCTTACTTTAAGATGTTTTTTCTGTTTTTATCAGTCTTGCATCTGAAAGATGTCTCGGTGTACCCAGTTTCCCCAACCTGCTGTTTGACCTGGAGTCAGGCTAACAGGTACAGATCGTCAAAGGGGCAACAAGCTTGGTGAAACAACTTGAACGAGCTGAAGTCACTTTATCCGCATAAAATCAATAAGCACACACCTAAACTTCGGAGTCATTCTGTTTCTTTCTGCTCGGAACTGTGGGGACCGGACGTCTCTTCTTCCTGACAGCCGGCTCCGGCTGGCCAGGTTTTTGTCCTCCACCAGCAGGTACAGGACGTCGTTTTTTGGCAGAGGGGACGCTGTCGGAGCGTTCGCTGAGGATGCCCCTCGCCACGCCCTCCATCTCTGAAATGGGGATGTGCATGGCGTCGGCCATCTCCTTCTTAGTTTCGGAGACAAAACCAGGATCTTTGGACAAGGAGGCCAGACCGCCCATTTCAAGGGCCTGAGGGGAAAAAAAAACAAACACTTTTATTTTATTCATATTGGAAAAAATTCTACTTCTTGTATTTTTTGTTTTTTTATATAAGTCAAATTTTAAAATCTCAAAATATTATGAACATTTCAGGGGACACGTGTCCCAAAATCCATTTGATAGTAAACCACAAACTTTGATGTATTTTATATTATTGGGAGCTTATGTTATAAATGAGCATAAGTAGAAAATAGTTGGTAAGTAAAAGGAAACTTTTTTAAATAAAAATGACTAAAAAATGGGGGTTGGAAGGAGGATTGGTCCAACCCTTACTTAATCACATTGTTGTGCAAATAACCTAGACAATCCAATTCTCTCTCCTGCATATTAGACTTTTAAAACCAAACCTTAATCGTGGCCAAAAATATTGATCTTTCAGAGAAGTGATAAAGATTAAAGTGAATGAGTTTCCCTCCTTACCTCCTGGACAAGCTGATCGGCTGGAGTCCTTGAGCTCCGACTCCGACTCTCCATCCACTCGGGCTCATAAGGGAACTGCATGAAACATGTAATCGTGTATGAAATTTATACTCTGTTCACATCACAAATGTCACAATATCACGTATGAGTTTAGGAAAAGGATACCTGTGTTTTGTTTGTTTGTACTGTGAAGTTCCAGGAGTGTCTTAGGTCTGGAAAATGGGAAAAAAAATGTTGAAAAGCCCATTTTTAGGGTTTATTTGTCATTAGCTATATTTTCTTTCACATTTATGCATTTAGAGGGGGATTAAGTTCACATGGAGGTGAACTCATTCATTAATTATTTGACATTTTAAGCCGTATTTTGCTTTTCAAAGTGTCTCAGAGTAAAGAGGCGCTGAATACAAAAGCACTTCCTCCTTTCAGGATTTTATAAGGATTTTATAAGGTTTAGGAATCATGTTCCTCCATTTCAAAAGGATGTTCTATTTTCTTTTGGTCTGCCATATTTCGATGCAATACAATAAAGTGTGTATTTGCATTGTGACAAAATGGGAAAAACTCAGGAGCACGGCGCTGTATGTGAAGGATGTGCAGACACGTCTCCAGGTGTCTTATGTCCTCTGTCGTACCTGGTTCTTCGTCCTCAGAGGGATTATAGAACTCATCTGGACTGGCTTCTCTGTCAAAGAAAAATCTGAAACGTAAACATGAAAAGCAATCAGACACAAAAACTCTTATCACGCACATGCAGCCGGATGGAAGCGTGTGTTGCTTGCCACTCACTCTGCGAAGGCGTTGTTGTTTGTGTTGCTTTTTGGTGCTGTAGCGGGGAAAAAGTCTGCGCCGGGCGCCAGGGCAGAGGAGTTGGGAGGAGACTCAGACTGGCTCTCTGAGAACTGGAGGGGCCGCTGGTGGGTCATCTGGGAGTTCTGAGCGTCGGTGGCCTCGGCGGAGAAGGATTCGACTCGGTTGCCGAACAGACCATGAGAACGCTGGAGATACCGATCGCAAAAGCAGGTAAAGTGATGGAATACATCGGTCCCACTGATTTGCAGAATGTGAATGCCAGAAATATCAGAACATCTCAAAACGTGAATCTAAGACTCTGGAAACACTTTATTTGAAGGGGTGTGCAAAAGACTGATATTACACTAACAGTGTACGTGTATGTCATAAACGTAACACAAAACCTGTCATGAACATAAAGGAGTCTTCTTGAATGTTGTCATTACATATCTCTCAGTAAATAATGGCACTTTCATTGCAAATATACATTAAAAGTGCATTAAAACTTAGCATTACTTAGTAACTATATGTTTTTATGCAAAGTTGCATTAAAACCCGCATTAAAAGTGTAAACTTTGCTTTAGAAGTGTCACTATTTATGAATGACACTTCAAATCAACAGTCATAAACATTCATGTTCATGAGAGGTGTTGTGTTGTGTTTATGACATAACACTACACTGTCAGTGTAATGTCAGTCTTATGCAACACACCCCTTCAAATGAAATGTTCCCGATTTCTTAACTTAAGTCGGAAAATGTAAAAGATCAACCAACACATGCAGGCTTACATGTTAGCAATCGCTGTGCTCTGTTGGGAAGTGGGTTTCCTACCTGATAAATGGTTTCCTCTGCAGCCTCGTCCATCGCTCTGTCCATTTCTTCCTCATTCTGCAAGTCTCCTGAAATTGCCCTGTGCATCTCTGGAGCCGCTTCTTCCTCTATGCTCCTCAAACCCGCCTACAAAATTAACAGAAAGTGGCAAAGAAGCTGAAAGCAAGATCCTTCCCATGTTTATGAAGATAGGAAGTTAGTAAGATCTCTTCAAGCAACCTGAATCTCCGGACCCGAGGTGCTCTTCTTTGATGGACGGAAGCCGTAATACTCCTCCTGGCGTTTCAGAAACTTTCGGAAATGGTCTTGGAGCAGAAATGTCGCGTAGAATTTCCCCACAGTCACCTCGTCATCTGTAGTTCACAGATCTGTCTATGTGAGAAGTTGGGTATTTCTTCGTAAAGCATCTATCTGCGTCCACACACTAACCTCCTATAGGGGGGATGACCTGGTCCAGCAGTTTCATGCTGGTGCGTTTCCAGATTTGCTTTATAATTGCTCGAAGCTCCTCATTGGCCTGCTCAAAGTTTCCTGTAAAAAGTGTTTGACAAAGAAAACCCAGTAACTGGTGATATTTGAAGGAGTGAATTTCTTCTTGTTATGACCTGAACAGGTTTCTGACGTGCCACACCTTCAGTCTTGATTTTTAGTGCCGTCCTGACCAGAGCGAACAAAGTGGCGTTGAACGTGACGGTGCCATCGCCGTTGAGAGGCATGTTCATCCCAACCAAACGCTGCAGACAGAAGAACGAGAATCAATTTTCTCCTGTTTTACATTTTTGTTTACAAGAACTCATGGGGGGGGAAATAATTCATTCTGTATGGAGCTTATGAAATTGAGCGATTCCTTTACAATTCCAGAGTCAATTTTTAAACATTTTAACTTGATGCACAGCTTTGACTTTATGTGAAACTCTTTTGCAACCCAAACCAACGCCCTGAAAGAATCTCGGATGTTCAAGAACAACCAAACATCAGTTTGAGCTTCCAGTTGCTCAAACATTAGTGTCACATTCGTGTCTATAGTGCAGCAATTTAACACCGTTATGCCTTGAGAGGGTGCCGAACCAGAGACACAAGACCAATGTTTTCAGCTGAAATGTGTTTTGATCAAAGGAGACAGGGGATGACTTGTTTGCTTACTTTTACTACAAATATATTTGGAGAAGTTAAGGAAGGACTTTCAAACGAAGAACAAAGTACCAACTGTTGAGCATCACGACGCCCGATTTGCTACCAGTGATAGCATTGCATCTGTGCTCATAATAATGAAGACAAAGGTCGGGATTTTTAGCTTCACCTAAAACCAGGTTGAAACTAAGTTTTTCAGCAGGATCCCGAAAATAAAATAAATCTGGTTTTGGTGCGGACAAATGAGGCTAATCATAATCAAGAGAAATTTCTCAAAGCCCTTGCCTACACAAGATGTATTGACCATCCTCAAAAGTTGGTACTGTACTAACAAAAAAGAAGTGGTCAAAACATTCAGGTGTAAATATGCCAGAAGATTAT